GCGTGGTTGCTGACTGTTGTGGGGGGGGGGGGGGGGGGGGGGGGGATGGGATCTAATGAAGGAGAGGAAGACAAGAGAGTAAGCAGAACACAAGCTCCTAGTGGGAAATACAGCTGCCTAGGAGTGCATCTTCTGTGCGTTGCTCATTCTCCTAAGAGAAATGCCACTTCCCACCATTGCCGGGGTTTGATGAGCTTGCAGTGAGCACAAGGTCAGATCTTGATTCACATTGTCAGGGGGCTGAGCTGGTTGCCCGACACCAAGGATCTCCATCCAGAGTGTGCTCAGATCCAATAGGAATTATTCCCCCTGCTTCCCCACCATAATTGCCCCATTCCCTCTCAGTGCCGTGCAGGAAGATGGTTCATTTCACCCAGGTCAGTGACTGTGCAGGTGTCGGTCTGCTGCATCATTGGGTCAGTAACCCTGATGATCAAGGAAATCCTGGTGCCAAGCCACTCGGGTGCCCTCACTTGTCATTTTTCTAACTACTGCCTTCATTTGTACATGTTTTCCAGTCTCTCTATACAAGCACTAGGCAGTGGTGAAGGGGTTCCATCATGCTTTTGGTGGGTTTGCCTGTTTGGCTTGAGGCCTGGATGGGTAATTGCACTGGTGTCCTTAGTAAGGAGATTAGGAAAGAAATGAGGATGCAGGTGGTCATAGCCAGGCATTTCCACCACTTTAGCTGTATTTATTAGCCAGCAGCTCTGAACAGCGTGTGAGAAAAAGAGTGACCATGCCAGTGAAAATGAGAGTTTGAGTGTTATGAGCTCCTGAATTCGAAGGTATTGCATTTTCATGTTGAAATGCCAATGACTAAGGGCACGAATGGATGGCACAGATTGCCCCATCCTCACAAGCTGCTGAGTGTCAGCCTTGGTGATTGTCCCCTACGTGCTCTCCACTGGGAGCAAATGCCAAAAAAGCCTGACCTAATTTATGGATCTTCCACTGTGGGCTGCGTTACTTTACATTTGCAACAGGCTAAGAGCATTAGTGGAAGTTCCCCTGCCAAGAGCATTTTGCTTGGCAGGTCCTTCTGCCTGGCTGGCTGGCAGTAGCTTGGTCAGCTGAACACTGAGCCCTTTGTTTTAGCTGCATTCACTGCCTGACTTTTTCAGATGTCGGTGACAGGCGTGAACGAGCGACCAGGGAAGTGCTTATTTCATGTTGTCTCTTGTTATGGTTTGCTTGCATCTGATGGATCAATTCTGGGGTCATGCTTCCTTAAACTTAGGGGGGTCAGAACTTTGCTGATGCTACAGCTCATGAACCCAAAGCTTTTTCCTGGCTCTGGGACTCAGGAAGATATTTAGGGCCAACCAGCTGAGAAGTGTAGCTCTCTGTAGCAGTGCCATCACCTGCAGACCCATACTCACATGGACTTGTAGCTCCCAGCTCTGCAATGCACAGCCGAGGCACAGAGCTGTGAAAGTCGTGATGGTTTTGGAGCCTGTGGGCATTACTGATGTGCCACAACTATGGCACGCTCAGCTGAAGACGACTGGCCTATATCCTCATTAGCATGGACAAACAGAAGTATTGATTCCACCTGACCAGGATGGCAGCATTCAGCCTGGTGGGCTTTTTTGAAGGGCATAACTTACATGGGTGAGAGTCTGTGATGAAAAAGTAGCTTTACCCCTAGAACTGAAGAGCACAGACAGTGTTGAGAAATGTGGTACAGGTTGCCTTTCACTTTTTTACCTTATCTGGGACCCTCACCCACATACCTCCTCTGCCCATGGCCCAAGACCAAGCTTAAGCCTGGGTACCCTGTGCCTGTCTGAGTGTTGTGGTTTAGCTGCAGCCGGCAGCAAAGCACCACGCAGCCGCTCGCTCCCCCTCCCCGCCCCTCCGGTGGGGTGGGGAAGAGAATTGGAGAGCAAAGGTAATGATGATGATGAAGAAAAGGAAAACAACAAGGGAGAAAGAGAGGGACAAAACCCAGGAAAAAAGTAATGCAACTGCTCACCACCCACTGACTGATGCCCAGTCCATCCCTGAGCAACAATCAGTGCCCCCCAGACAACTCCCCCCAGTTTATATACTGAGCGTCACATGGTCTGGCATAGCCCTTTGGCCAGTTGGGCTCAGCTGTCCTGGCTGTGCCCCCTCCCAGCTTCTTGTGCCCCTGGCAGAGCAGGAGAAGCTGAAAAACTCCTTCAGTGGTGTAAGCCCTGCTCAGCAACAACTAAACCATCAGTGTGTTATCAACATTCTTATACTAAATCCAAAGCACAGACTGTGCCAGCTACTGGGAAGAAAATTAACTCTATCCCAGCCAAATCCAGGACACTGAGCTGTATTAGATATGTCCTTATGTCCAGCTCTGGCTGCTGCATGGACCTTGGACCTGCCTTGTAGCTTTGT